TGAAGTGGGCATTCTAGTTCCTGCAGCTCCTTGGAAACGATACCAGCCATGAAGTCCACTATCGCATAAGTATGTAGTATAGTAGTTTGTCTTTCTGTCCGCCCTATTTAAGGTTTTGTAGTTTTGACATTCTGTGGAACAGTGAACAACAGAGAGTCAGTAGAGTCCAGCTGGAAATCAAGTGAGTTAATAAATCAAACATTTAGGATGACAACCCCCGCGCCCTGCTGTTTTTGTTTATCTTTGATATTGATATCCAGTCGCATTTATACTTGTTTTAGTTCAATTTAATATTTATCATCAAACTAAACTCGAATTTGACTATTAGTTGAAATGACATAAATGCAGAATTGCATCATTCTAATAAACAGGAGATCATTCCATTTTGCAAGTTTCCATTGCTCATTCTCCCCAAAGCCACTCCGTTTGGTAATTCCAATTAATACTCTACTTTTTATTTGTAGTTGAACTAGAGCCTTTTACTGTTTTGTCTTTCCATGGAATTCAAAGGTATCTGGTCTTTGGCCGTAGAAGACGGAGAACAACAACAATGACAATAATAATATAAAAAAGGTTTGTTTAGAAAATATTGATGATATATAAAATGCCATTCATTGCCTCTGTTTCACAAAACTCCTAAGTGGGGTTCAAATGTTGTGTTCCTCTTCAGCGTTTTATTTTGCAAGGAAGAGAAATTCAACAAAAAAGGAAGTGCTAATTCTGAATTTGGAGAACAAGATTCGGTTTATTATAATAGTTAGAACCAGCTTTATGCTCTCCTGGGAGGCGCGGTGACCTCATGGTTAGTGCACTCATCTCTGGATCGAGCGGTCTGGATTCGAGCCCTGGCCGGGGACATTTTGTTGTGTACTTGGGCAAGACACTTTTCTCTCACAGTGCCTCTCTCCACCTAGGTGTATAAATGGGTACCACCAGCAAATTTAATGCTGGGGGTAACCCTGTGATGGACTAGCATCCCATCCAGGGGGGAGTAGAAATGCTCTTAGTCGCTTCATGCTACGGAAACCGGGATAAGCTCCGACCTGATGGACCACTTAGCTCGTATAAAGACTTAACCTTATGCTCCGTTGTGTCATCTCCAACAGGTATATAGGAGGTTTATAGTCACCTTTGTATGCTTTCATGGCTCGATAGAGTCTACTAGATTTGTTGTTGTTGTTGTTGTTGGTTTTTTTTTTTTTTGGATTTTAATTGTTTGTTTGATTTATCTGCAAACTAAAAATAAACATCCCTTTTCTAGGGTAAATCTTAGTCAATTAAGAACTTTTTTGATATTTTAAAAATGCATTTCTCCTTTCTAAATTTAGGAAATCAAACTTGAAAAATATCATTTAAAATAAATAAATAAATAAAATACACTGCGCTTCACTATTATCGCAGAGTTATGGCATATATCAAGCATCGTACAGCAACACAGTATGAAAGTGACATATTTACCTGCCGCGAGCTTGCATGTTTTTCCATCTCCAGTATAAG